TTAGAACTGCAATAACTTTTAAGGAATCTTGAGGACTAATTATAATTAGTTGGATCTGCTTTCGACTGAAGATTTGCAACTCCAAGTAAATTCGGCTCTAATATATTGAAAAAAGCATCTAATGAAGTACAGCTGAAAATATGTGTTTATCAATAGTAAAACAAATTTGGAGGCGAATTTCAATGACCACTTCATTCTTGCAGAGTAACTGCTTACCATTCGCCTATGCGTCGAGGCAAGAGGTTAGTCACAACAGTAACAGTTTTTCCCGAAAAAACTTAGTAGAAAAATAGCAGAGAACCTAAAGTTAAAGTAAATGTTCAAAAATTTTAAAACAACATTATTTTAATAAATACCTATAAGTATAATAGATAATCAATAATAATTTCCATACACTTCAGACTATTGTACCATTTTTGTCTAGCATTACTTTTCGTTAGCCCAGACCTTAAAGCAAAGCACGGATTTATAAAGATTAAAGTGAACAAATCGGGAAACTTTTAAAATACATTTCAACGCAACCACAAATTTGAACACTTTATTTCCCATTTATTTAAACTATAATTGCTCATAGTTTTCAATTTATGTGAACATAGACAGACCGTGGTTGATTTGAATATGGACATGCTTCATTACGTATCAACAAACAGCAATTTAAAACAATCAATTTTTTCCGCGTACCCATAATGTCTAAACTCATATTACACACTCATGTTACGCAAAACACATTTAAATTTCCGCAAGTTGTTATTTTAGACTTCGCTATTTACGATCGAATTACTTGCAAAAACGTAGATTTACCTATTGATCAGTATATTTGCGATGGTTTTTGTAGAGTCAAGCGAAGTTTGTTCAGCGAAAACGCGAGAATCAAATTACAGTAAAGTTTACCAATTTGGACAATAAATATTACGATTATTAACGTGTTTTCAATGTAATAAATATAAAGAATGCAGAAACAGAAAAAAATTTATATCCCAGAAACATTTAACATACGGTAAATGATTTGTTTTCCAATAGGTAATTAGTTACAAAGCATTAACATGATAATTACGATGACCGGTTGAAAGTATATTGATGATCATATGCAAACTGAAGCGATCTTACTTAAATCCTCATTTGTCTGAATTTTTAAGGAAACCAGTTGGGCATTAAAGATACGAATTTAATATTCAACGCAATTTATCTATTGTTAATGAAGAAGCTTAATAAGAAAAGAAAGCTTAAAGAAAGCCTAATAAAAAGAAATCATTGTCAAACTTTCTTCAGCACACAACCATTCACCAGCCAATTTATAAAAATACAAAGAAAATAAAGTGACTAACTATTTTTATGTACTTGCAACATCAAGTCGAATACTACAAACAAAACAAAAATTAAAAGACTAATAACTTATGTAAGCAAGCGAATAATAAACAATGTAAAAACGAAAACAAGGAAGCGAAATTGCTGAAATGTGATTGATTTGGTTGATTCAATTCTTACTTGTGGAACTCGGAATATCGTGCATTTGTATTATGCAACTTAGCGGAATGTTTTTGGAAAAGGTTAATAACAAATAATGTGGTATTTAAAGAGACCTGCGTAGGTGCATAATTTCTAAATCGCTTACATTATAAGCATTTTTCATGTTCATTTCGGGACAATTTTGTCATGTTTCACTTATTCCACGCCAAAGTGAATAGTAATTTGCATATAAATTGGCCTAACTCGTGGTATTAGCGTTGCAAAGCTTTTCAATTGTACATTGATATTTCAAGATTGGGCAATTACCAATATGAGATCATCTTCTATAAAAGAAAACGAGTAAATTTAATGGTGTTGATCGCTTCTTCGCTTCAATGGTTATGCGTCAAGTCCTGATTAACCTAATATAGTGTGAATACAATTTGGCAAAAGTTTAATGACCAATCATAAACGGTAAATTTTTTTAATGAAAATTAAAATCATTCAAATTTCTGTTTATTGAAGAATTTATATATTCCATATTTTTAATAATATCAATTCAATTTTTTTGAAAATGTAGTTACTTAAACCCACTTTATAATGGATGCTCAATCGCCATAAATTGAAACGTTTTACCTTGACTTTAATGCAAATAACAATTAAACTGATACTTAATCATGTAGCAAATGTTCTAAATGTCTTCTTTTTTCAAGAACCCCTTCTGGTGATGCCATTTAATAAAATAAAAACATTACTTTTTATTTTTCAGTTTGAGAAGGTTCACGTTTCGTTGATGGTCATAAGGACATTAAAAGAAATATATTGAAATATATTTCTGTTTATTTTGCTCAAGGTGTCGTTTATTCATTTCGCTGTCATTTTGAACTGTTATTGACTGCGAGAATAAAAAGAATTGGATTTATCAGAAATATTAAATATCCGTATAGAAAGATTATTTGAATAATAACTAACAAAAAAATTGAAATCAATTTCGAGAAACGTGCGTAGAGCAAATATAAACAAATTTATATACTCCTCTTAATGGCTGTTGATTTGAAAATATATGGAAAGTGATTTAGAAATATTTAGAAATATATCAACTTTGAGGCAACGCTTTAACGGCCAAGAAATAAATCAATTTAATTAACAATTGTGAAGATAAAACGACTCGGTAATTGAACACATCAAAAGGCATTTAGACGTAAAAATTGAAATATCTGAAAGTTTAGGAGTTAACTATTAAAAATGAACCTTTAAAATTTAGTTGATAGAGGATATTTAATATATCTGGAATTTACAAAAGAATTTCGTTATTGTTTCCTTTTAATATGCAATAGAAAATTCAAATTCAAATTTACATACAAGTAGGCCTAATGATGAAGTTTATGGTGAAGATATAAATACTAAGCTGTATTTTATGGCAGATTATTTCTTAAGCAGCTTATGTAATTAATCATTTTTTCAATTAATTGAAGATTTCAAAGTTTACATTAGAAAATTAAATACATTTTCAGGCAAACCGTAAATATATACAATAAGATACCAATAAATCCAGAGAAAAACATGCATATTGAATAAAATTGGACAAAAATCGGTTAATATTAAAAAATCGATTGGCCCAGATTAGGAATAGAAAACAATTCAATGCAAATGAAAATAACTCCATTAAATTAGAAACCATCACATAGAAATTAATAGGACAAACAGATAAACGGGCAGACAAAACATGTGGATGAAAATAAAAAGAAACATTTCGAAAAGTAACGATTTTTTCATTTCAGTATACTACAAATTCCAGCATGAAGAAAACCAAAATTGAAACTTTTCCATCGCAAGTTCACCATATTATAAAGTCATATTGGAACATTTTGACTTTTAGATCCATTTGTATTCAAAATTAAGCATCCATTTCGATAAAAAAATTTATACATACATTTACTTGTAGGTACGTATATGATCATTTGTTGTAATCAAAACAAATGTGACAAACAAAAAGAAAGTGTTTATGCAAGTGTGCGTTTTTCTTCAAAGTTCAAAAAACTTTATTAAAAATATCTACTTGTCAATATATAGACCGATTTTTCAGAATACCAAATTTTGTGGCTCCATAATTAAATTTGAAATTGTTTGCTGGTATTTAAATCAAAACGTCCTTTTCACGCATTTTCACGAGCACTAGTTATATTATTTTCAATATGCTCACATTTCTCTTATAAATAGTACCTAAGCAGAACTTTCAAACGTATCTCGCAATCCCTTAGTTAAGGAAGACTCGTGTAATGATATACTTGGTGTACCCACATTTTAAAATAAATTATGACTATTAGATATCAATATTTGACTGAATATAGTCGACAATAGGCTTAATCAACATCAAAAGGTGATTAAAAATAGAAATTTAGTTACATATTGATCGTAGTGTAGATATCTATTATGTGACATATTTCTCCAAGCGACATTAAAATAGCCATTTATTCATGGCGTACTATAATAGACAAGTTACTGCATTAGAAAAATGTATCGGTCCATATTGCTAACTTTTCTTAGCGACCATGTATAAATGCCTATATTTTCAGCAAATAAACATGTGTTAACATCTGCCCAAAAAGAAGTTTGGATTTAATAATATGTAATGTTATATATTTTTGTTCATTTACTCATATGTCCACTCGGTACGAAACATTCTGTATATTTTTGAAGAATTCTTACAAAACTGTTGAAAACTAATTATTCAAAAACATTTAATTTAGTTACCTATTAAAAATTATTAACTGAGATACTCTCCATTAAGACATGAAGACATTTAACTGAATGAAGTGAAAATTTAGTTGAAAGTTGACGTAAATTTTTTTATTTAGACAAATGGTTAAACCGTTTTTGCTTTACTATTACTCAAAATGTGAAGAAATTTAATATTGTCCCGCAACATCCGAACTGGACCCATACGTACGACTTTCCTGTTTCTTCTTCTGATCAAAGCTCAGTACAAATAGTAAAGGTTCACTTAATTTTGTATATTAAACTGTATCTGTTTGTTTCCAACCTTCTGCATTATACAAAAAAGCCCACAGCCATCTCGACAATAGCATTTTTATAGAACTTTTGAATGAAACGAAGTTATTTTATTTTTAAATAGAAATTTAAAATGTTCACTAATTTAGAATTTTTATCAACAATCAAACGCCATGACCGATACATCAGAATAAATAAAAAAAAACTCTCTATAATCGAGTAGGCGCTTTCATTTACCTAGTGATTACATAATTTCCATATTCTGATAAAAAAACTAAGGGCAGCAGCATAGTCAATTTTGTTTTTAAAGAAAATTATGTAAATATCCTTTGTCCAGATTAGAATTTAAAAAATAGGGACAGCTTTAGACGAGGACGCTCTGGTCTATACGGTACTATAGTTGGGTATAAATAACTACTACTCTTGTCCAGTTCTTCGCATACATTTGAAACACCCTGTATATGTCTGCGAAAGGTAGCGACAGCGCCAAAATCTTTGACCCCTCAAAATAGCCCCGTTACCAAAAACTCGTTTTGACTCACCTTTTCAATAAGCAAAATCCAATCTAGAGATTATCCAAATATAGGTAGGTACCCTTACATGCCACCAAAGTCACAAAACCTCACCAACTATGGTAATCCGAAGAATCGGTCACAGTTTATAAAATGAAAAACGTCAACAAGCACATCAAACACTAGGGCAAAGTACCTACAATGTATTTCACAAAGTAACAGTACTACTTACAACTCGCGATACGATCGCGATACAGTCGAAATGCGCCAGTCGTTCTTCGCGCTTTGTACGACCGTTCGCCGAGGAATGAAGAAAGCCTGCGGTACGACTCGCTGGTCACGTGATTCTTCGGCGAGGTCTCTCATCTGCAAGAAGTGCTGCAAGAGAGAGTCCGTCGACCGGACATCCTGTGCTGCCATCGCGAACCGAGATGTTCCATTGTTTTGGAGTTATGCCCCATGACTTTTTGCTCGGGCCGATGAATCTCGAATTGCTTCAGTTTTGGCCTAAACACTCGTAACTGTTAACTGTTCTTCGGAAGAATGCAGTATTACACTGGAGCACTGTATCTGAGTGCTACTTCTACCAGCTAGTTGATCCGTTACATGTATCGTGGTTGCTCCATAGAAGACATTAAATCTGGAATTTTTTTCACCATATTCGACTTATACAGCACCATCACCAATCGTTTTCTTTGCTTCTTAACACTTCAGAACAGGTCATCTTGTTTGTCTTTCCGATTTCGAGCCTGAATGAAGATATGAGGACACTGAAAACTGTAATAAATTACAAAGGTAACAAAAGAAAAGGAAGTTTTGCAATGAACGAGTTGTTAAAAGCGAGTTTAAAAATTTACCGAACAAATTTAAAGTGCCGACTTGTGACGAATGAAAGAAAATCACCAGTAATCATCATTTAGCCCTCATTAACATCTGTCGGCCAAGAAAATTCGTTCTAACCAGAAACGCACAGAAGTTTGGATACGGAAGGCACAATTTAAAACCCATGTTTGTTGCATTTGGATTTGACCCCTTTACTCTATGAAACCCCGAACTAAGGCTTTAAATGGCACTAAAGGATGTAACATCATTTAACGATAAGAAAGTTTAATTGCCGTTTAGTAAACTAAAATAGCTGGCTTAAATCTGAGCTTATAAAAGAATCAGAAGATTCAAAAACACATGATCGATGCTCACAATGGCATGTTCGGTACTTAAGAGGGAAATATTAGCATTTTTGGATGATTGTAAAGATTGCTGGATAAAGCAACCCATATTCCGAGAATGTGCTTATCCTCCGGACTCCAGATACAGAGTTATCTATTTTATGTTTGGGAAAATAAAGTAAAAAAAACACACAAAATATTCAGATGGATACGAAAATTTTAATTCAATATAAAGATTAAACCTTATTACATTATTATTATACATTATACAGGGTTATTCACACTATATGGCACGGAAGTTTGCGGCTGAACCGTTTGATTTTTAAAAAGTATTATTTTATTAATTGTCCGACGCCTACCGAGCGCACATTTTAAAAATATTTTTGTAATGTACAGGGTATCCCAAAGGCTATAAAGGTATGAAAGTTGCGTTTTTTTAAATGGAATATCCTGTATATTATTGCATTTTTGGATTCGCTGAACAAAATAAGTGTCTGTTTTAATAAGGTTTATAATACCGAAATCTTAAGGTTTTTTAAATAATACGAATTTAATCAAAATCTAATATCATTTTCACGTGTCAAATACTTTAGAAGTATTTAAGTTATGTAAGCGTAATTTATGGTGAAGGGTAACAAGATATAATATTTTATATCCCAATGACAATAATCTTACCATGTTATACAGGGTGTCCACAAATTTAAACTAATCAAATAAGAACTTTAAGTGGCTCTAACTTGATTAAATTAAATACAACCCCATATTTTTTAACTTACCAGGAAATGCAATTTTTAATTACCTATCGAATGGTATTGGCATGTTAATAGCTAAGTTTTTGCCTTTTTACAAAATACGTCAAATAGTCGTTCTGTGCACCATTTGGTGATGTTTAATTTAAGGTTCCAATGTATCTAAGTTGGCTATGCCATTACACATTAACATGTCAATTCATTTATTTTATTTGTCAGTTTAGACTGCAAATCCCCTTTTTGATAGATTTTTGATAGAGTGCTATTGTTTTTTGTAATTGTAGACGTGTTGGTCCTTATTTTCATATTATTATTGTGTTGCTAAGTTAAAATGAAGAATTATCCAAGAGAAGAGCGTATTGACATGATTTTCACCCTTGAAGAATGTCATAAAAATTGTTTATTGGCTTCTCGAGTTTATGCTCAAAAGTTTCCTGAAAGAAAT